TGGGGGCGATATGCTGACTCTGTAAACCGCTTAGAGAGGGCTGAAAGCCCTATGAAGCGGTATATAAGTCTAACTGCTATTGCTATTGTTTGCAGGCTGTGGGTTATGCCTGTTCTACAATAGTAAGCAGCACATCCAGGAGTGTGTGTTTCGCCAAGAATCTTTTAGTGATTAAAATAAATTATTGTACCCGATTATTATATTTTCAGCACTGTTGAATCTTCTGCCCACACAGCACCCATCCAAACTGTTGACCTACTTAAATACTAATTGTTATCTTTAAGGTATGTCTTGTTTCTCTTCACTGATGGTTTGCAATGCCTGTTACCTGTTGAAATGTAATCAACTTGAGGTGGCGCTAATGTTACATAAGCTAATTATACAAATTATACAAAATTAAGGGATGCGTTGCTTAAAAGACAAAGTAAACATTCAGTAACCATTTCTAGGTATACTATCCAGTTGTAATTAATTTACTTTGAGATAACTAAGGGCACATCCTTGGAGCCTGCGTGATGGGCTTCACCCTACTACTGCCAAAGTGGTATCCAAATTAATGTACTTCTCTTGCGAAGGTGGCCACCTCTCTTTCCAGCTATCCAGTGGGTCCACATAAAGATGAAAGCCAGTTGGTGCTCTGTCCCCATTTTTTAAATTCCTTTTCCTGGAAGGGAGGGGGAGAAATGGGGTGGGAAATCTCAAAATAGGCATTGTGCAGGGGAATAGTAAAGTTCCACATCAGAATAAATGGAAAGGACAGGGAAATGGTGGGAATGTCTTGTTTGCACAAAGGAATGAGAGGTCCAGGAGCAAGGAATTTCTACTATAGAAAAATGTCCACCTCTAAACTCCAAAGGAAAGTTTGCAAACTGTTCGGAAGCTGAGTCAATAGCTTTCCAACCCAATGGCACTAAATGGCAATTGACAGACTCAGATCCCAATCCCTTCAGTTGAAAGGATATAAGCATAATATATTAAACTAAAGTGAGACATCCCTGCACACAATTAGCAACTGGTTCTCCTTATAGCGAAGAAAGTTGATAAAATATCCGTGCATAGGAATCCAAACTGATTCACTGCATTTCAGCTAAGAAACGGTTCCCCAGTCTGACGTAGTATCCTCTAAATAGAATAGGACTGTCTCCCAGAATTCAATCTTTGACCGTACTAGATTCAAAATTGTTTTGGTTTGTACTTAATAAGAGCATATTTTTGCATATTAGAATTGGAACAGCCAATACGTCTAAAATAATAATAATTGAAAATTTAGACTTGAATTGAAAGTTCATAAGATAGCAATAGAAAACACATGTCAAGTCTGCAAAGAAGCGAGGTGGCGCAGTGGTTAGGGTGCAGTACTGCAGGCCACTTCAGCTGACTGCTGTTCTGCAGTTCGGCGGTTCAAATCTCACCGGCTCAAGGTTNAAAAAAGAAAGAAAGGTAAAGATGGTGAAAATGATAAAATCAAAGAACAAAAAAGAGTCCAGACAATCTAAGGGGGCTTCAGTCGTCCTCATCAAAGTCCTGGGCATATTGATAACACAAAGCTCCAACATGCAGGTGATCTCACCTAACAATTTCATACAGATGTTAAAAACATACAACGGAGGCTTGGGAAATGATCTCCCCCGCCCCCAACCAATATGAGTAGAACCAGATTTGGAGAAAGGGAGAGAACCACTGTAAAACATACCCCCCCCCCAAACCCACAGAACTGTCTCAGAAGGATATAATGGTCAATGATGTGAAAAACTGTTAAAAGATCAAAGAACACTAGGATGAATGCACCACCCCCACCCCTTCTCTGGCTCAGATCATTTGGAAGAATGATCAAAACTTTCCAAGTACTAAATCTCAGCCTAAAACCTAACCGAATCTGTTCCCTCCAGGACTATCCAATTGATCACCTTCTCAGCAATCTTACCCAGAAAGTTGGAGACTGCATGATAGTTATAAAAAACCATTGGGTCCAAAAATAACCTCTTTAGGGAGCATGTGGTAAATTGCTATAAGTAATACTAGAAAGTTGACATTAAATTTAGTAATTTCAGCAGATAGAAATATGCTCGTGAGATCAGCTACTTTTTAAGTAATGAGAAAATAAATATTTTTTATTGACCGACAAAGCACAAATTTAATTGTCATTTTGGGAAATATACCATTCAGTATTCATCTTCAGAAAAATCATTTCCAAGATGAGCTAGTAATTTGTAGTGGAAGAACTGGTATTTAGAGGAAGAACTCTAATTTGATAAAATTGTGACTAATGAAATGCTCCCAAGCTTTAGTTTCCATTTAAGTCAAGATAATTATTTTTATGGGCTTCAAAAGGCATTGTATTTCTTTTTGTCAACTTCAGGAATTTCTCACACATCAGCAATTTAACTTCTGCTTACAAAGTATGCAACTCTCCTATGTTATGTTAATTGAAGACTTGTTTTAATTAAAAAATGGGGTTTACATGCAGGTTGAAAGATCCCATATGTATCCCATCAGCAGATTCTCTTGCCAAACTGGAGAATGTCAGCATTCAGAGGCCATTCTTTTAAAACAATATTTGATGGATTGTCTATAGCTAAAGGATACCTTACCTTGGACAAAGCCCTGGATTTCATTTTTTAAAACAAATACTTTTCTGCTGGGTTTTTTTTCAAGTGATGGGCTATGTTACAGCCATTTGTATGTCTTTATTGTTCCTTTTGTTTATAGCAACTTCTTTTACTCCTCTATCAGCAGACATAAGGACAAATAAAAGACTCTATTTCCCTATTAATAAATGAATAAATAAATAACAGTGGGTTGTGATGGCTAACCTACATTTTGAATCACACATATCATGACTGCAGTGGTGGGTTCCAGTACGGTTGTAACGGGCCCCGGCGTGCTCCACATGAATGTGTGCGGTGCATGCACATACACTGCGTCTTAACGTCCAGCGACGCCCCCGCAAGCCTCCGTGATGCTCCAGCTGCTCGGCAGAGCATTGCGCAGGTGCTGTATGCGCCGTGCACGGAAGCGCCTAAGAGTTTAAGGACAGGAAAGGAGGGCGGGCGGGTTGGCCCTCCGGAGAACCGTACCGGAACGGTGTCCGGTGCTCTGGGCAGGCTCCGGTATGCCCGTACCGGGGCGTACCGCCTGCAACCTACCACTGCATGGCTGGCTACTCCAGTAATGCTGCGATGCAAGACTCCTCTTTAGGCAAATAACTATAATACATTAATGTTGAATATGATTAAATGAAACAATTTTCCTCCATTTTTCAAGGGCACCAGAATAGTGCTCCTTCACTCTAAGGCAGCTTTAAACAAGGGCTACTGGTTTACAAAGTAAAATGCTGAGGCTATAATGTTATTATCCTTATTCTACTGCACTGTAAGAAGATGGAAGTTAACACTTTTTTCTTTTTTCCCCTTCACCTCACATTCTGGTTTCCCCCTTTTTCCATCCCTTCTTCCCTATTATCTTTATTTTCACTTGTACTTCATGTTTTGATAATCTGAATACAATTAAAACTATGTATGTATGTATGTATGTATGCGTGCGTGCGTGCGTGCGTGCATGCGTGCATTTTGGCTACATAATGAATCAAACAACAAAGCAAAATTCTTTCTCCTAATTTGTCTAGTAAATAATTTACAATGACATTTTATGCCAGCCAGTATGGTAGTCTGATATGAGAAAGGATCAAACTGAGAAGGGAGTCAGATTGCTATAAAATTAAAGAACTGCAATAATAATAAAGGTTGCCATAATACCAGTAGGATACACAGAGCCATTATTTCCTATCAGCACGACATTTACTTCATTCACTAAAAGCACAGCAAGCTCTGAATTCTCAATGACTTTTCTTTCAAAAACACATTTTTTCCCCTGGCTGCCTTTGTGGAGGTTCTTCATAGCTTTCAGACATTCCCCAATGTGTAGATCTTAAAAGTTGCCATGGTATCAGTTTTACATGTGCTATGTCATCATCATTCAATATAGTACGTCATAACAATCCATTTCCAGAAACAGCAATTGTATAGAATTAAAATCTAAAACTATGGATCTTCAATCTATTTTTCAACCATGTAATCTGACATTATCCTGGTTAGTAACATAGGGACCTTAGGGAAACTAGCTATGTCAGTATCTTTCAGAAGAAAACAAGAATCTTGTGAGACATCTCTACAGAAAGTTTATATAATAAACATATTTTGGAAGTTATTGTAATGTATTTATCAGAGTTTGCAGTGCTGGCTACTAGCTCGGCTGGCTTCAAAAAGGACTGGACCTCATAAATAGAAATAATAGGGATCAATGCTATAAGCCTGTGGTGATAGCTTGAATGCCTCTGAAGGCCATCTCTTGGGAGATTAGTGGACTTTTTTGTGCAATTGGTTAACTCTTGTAAGAACAGACTGCAGAATTTGGCTAGGGTTAGGCCAGGGTCTGATGTCGCAGAACACTGCTTATATTGTTACGTTTGTAATATTATCTTAAAATTATTTGAATTCAATTTTTCCTGATATCCTTCCTGTTTTCTTTAGGCTTCCGCAAGAAACATACTACAAAATGAATGATCTTGCTATCAAAAGAATAACAAATGAAATTATCAAGTCACCTGAAGATAAACGAGAATATCGTGGATTAGAACTGGCAAATGGCATCAAAGCAGTGCTTATCAGTGATCCCACTACTGACAAATCTTCAGCTACCCTTGATGTGCACATAGGTATTTAATCAAATATTTTGTTTTGGTTTTATATTGTACGATAAACAAAAGTCTTACAAAATATTTTATTTCTGTGACTTAAGTAGAATTATAAGTTTGCTTGGAAATTTCACTAATATTTTCCCCCAAGAGTCAGTAGTTCAAATTAGAATTGATTTAGTCCGATTTGTATGTTTCCTGGGCACAGCCTAAAGATTTTCATGTTATTTTATAAACTTATAGGAAGCAAAGGACCAGTAAGAAATTAGATAAAAAAGATAGGAAATAATATTAATAAAATAAAAAAAGCAAATAAGAACAAAGTAAAATGGTAATAATAGAAATGGTAATGTAATAGTAGTAGATCCAGCAACTTCTAATTGTGTTTACTGTGGTATAGAATTTTGCTTATATTTTTCCAAAAGCTTGCAGACAATGAAATAACCCATTAAGCTAATAGCAACTTTTCTAAATATTTTCCTTTTATTTTTATGTAAAATAAAGTCTTGATTGACTTTCATGCCATTTAGTTAACATTTCTTTTTCCTTTGCAGTTTCAAATGTTTGCATATCTTCACCTTTGATCTCTTAATAGTATATATTACTGTGACTTCAGTGACGATTCACACGGGAGAGTAGTCCAAAGAAATTGTGTAGTAGCTCATATATCTAGCATGATTTAGCAATAGAGTAAATAAATCTACTTAATTCATTTCATACGTTGATCTTTTTTGAAATAAATAAAATTTCTTACACCACATTGATTTAATTACAACTCTCCTGTTTTTTTAAAAAATCAGTCTAATTGTAAAAATTTGGCAGTATTTCTTCAATAAAACTTAAATATTTATAGTGACTTGTTATATATTTTTTCTCTCCACAAGGATCGTTATCTGATCCCATTAATATTCCTGGATTAAGCCATTTTTGTGAACATATGTTATTTTTGGGAACTAAAAAATTCCCAAAAGAAAATGAGTACAGCCAATTTCTGAGTGAACATGGAGGGAGTTCAAATGCTTTTACCAGTGGAGAACACACCAACTATTATTTTGATGTTTCACATGAACACTTAGAAGGTGCTCTTGATAGGTAAGCATAATTATTCAGCAAGTATATTGTTAACCACTGTGTGATTTTTACTGGGAATAAACGTTCTACTTGAGGTTCTCTGTACTTCTATCATAATCTTTATTAGGCCAGATGAAATTGGAAGCCCTGTCCAGTTTAATTTTTATTGACTTTTGTTAGATAAAAAAAACCCAACCCCAAATAATCCCAGCTTTGCTATTATATATATTTCAGTAGTTGATTTCTGGTTTTTCAACTGGTCAGATTTTATGCGTCTCCCAAGAGGATAGAAAGTACTTTGATTCTGACAACAGGGATTTATGTTTTTAAATCTGAAAACTTAGAAATGTTTGATTTTCTTCTTCATAACAAGCTTTGGGAAGCTATTAAAATGAAACTAATCGGCAGTTGCTAAATTCAACTTTGCATGTATGAAATTATCGTTACATTTTACTAGGTAATCTAATACATAATGGATTACTCCATAATCTGCTTCATCCTTTTTGCTTTCTTTACCAAGTTGCATAGTGAAAATTTTTTAAAACTCCACAATTTGTACAAATTCAGTTAATCTAATAAAGGGACAGTCTTTAAGGAGATTGGATTATTTCTGCTTTTCTGAAGTAATCCTGAAATAACATTAAAATTATATGAGAGCAAAATTTCTGATGTGGTGGATGCAGTGGCACAGTGGCTAAAACACTGAGTTTGTTGATCAGAAAGATCAGCAGTTCGGTGGTTCAAATCCCTAGCACCGCATAACAGAGTGAGCTCCCGTTACTTGTCCCAGCTTCTGCCAACCTAGCAGTTCAAAAGTATGTAAAAATGCAAGTAGGAAAAGTAGGGGCCACCTTTAATGAGAAGGTAACAGCATTCCATGCACCTTTGGCATTTAGTCATGCCAGCCACATGATCATGGAGACGTCTTCAGNCTAATAAATTATCCTGCTTTATATTCCCCCATAAAGCAATTGCCAGAGAATTGTGGACTTTGTGAATGACCATCTCTGCATTGTTGCATTGTAGATGAAAGCAGTGAACACATATTTTCAAAGTGAAGCGTAATGCATTTTTCCTTGTGTACACTCTCTTACTGAAACCACTGCATCACTTTTTTGTTTTCTTTTGCAGCTGGACTTTGTCCCGATTTTCTAGCTTATTGCATTTGTATTGTCCTATTTAATTTCTCCTATGTTCTGTGAAAATTGCTTCTTGCATGCCAGTCAACCTTAATAATACATTCAGAATGCTAGTTTGACCAAACTCCATACAAGCATTGTTGTTTATTAAGCATATATCTGATTGTGCTTTATTATATCGCAAAACATATTTTGTAGTAATATAAATAACTTGCTTAGATAAATGTTTGTGACAAGAATATTTCTGTTCATTACTTAGGAATAACTTGGTGATATAGACTCACTTGCTCTTTGGATAATAATCATGGCTATAACTACTTCTCATTTGATTCTTCCCTAGGTGTGAAGTGGTTGCAGAGGGCCATATGTCTTTTAAATGTTAGATGGGAAACAATTGAAGTTACCAGCTTCACAGTGTGTCTCCTCATAAATGCTTCCAGTGCCAACTGATTCATTGTTGCCTAACAGTACTATATAGTGAAACCACCAGGTATTCTATAGTGTAGCTTTTATATCTGCTCGGAAGACTGTTTCCCTCAAATTAGAGTAGGTTTTAATTGATAAAAGCAAATTTCTTTCAATACCACTGATATGCAGGTAGATCTGTTTCTTGTTATGAACTCATGGAAGCAGAGAGGTAATTATGATTTTGTAGGGAAAAAAATGCAATTTTTATTAAAACAAATTAAGTCCTCTGCTCTCTTCTGCCTTTAACAAATACAGTCTATCAATATAACTTTTTAGGTGCAAAGCATAGTGAGTTGTCATTTATTCTCTTATCTTCCAATCCAAGTTACCAAGTTCCATGTGGGTCCAATCAGTTATTTGTGCTGCATATTGAATAACAGGGATTGCCCAGGTATCAATTGATTTAATGATGTTTCCACCATTTAATATTAGTACCGTGTTTTCCTATCCTACCTCAAAAATAAGCCCTAGCTGAATTTACATGCGTCAGCCTAATATAGGTCTTACCCCAAAATAAGCCCCAGTGAAGGGGGATGGTCATAGCCAGCATAGGAGGCAACACACATGCATGGACTGATGATGTCTGGCATCAGCCATAGCTCGCGCAGCACAGGTGAGTTGAGGCGGGGGGGGGAGGCAGGCAATCCTGTCACTCTGCATGGGCTGTGGGAAAGCCGAGTGGCAGCGGGCAGCTGTGGGAGGCTCGTTACCTCTCTCAGCTTGCCTGCAGCCCACACGGCACATCAGAATCGCCTGCCTTTTCCTCTGCGCATCAGGATTGCCTGCCTTTCGCTTCATCCCTTCCTCTCTGCGCAGCCCAGAGTGTGCTGAACAAGGGACCAGTGGGCTGCAGCTGCTGCCGGANTTAACCTTACATATGTTAAGAATATACAGGACATTTTTTATTTACCTTTATTAACAGTAGTTGTTCATTTTGAAGAGTATTATTTATTTGTTTATACTTGTTCTAAGTTTAGAAACTTCCAGTGATTGACAGGTTAAAAATGTAAATATGTCATTGCTCCTCTGAAACAAATTTTAAGAAGTAAATCTTGTTAAATTCAGTGGGTTTGCAATCATAAACTTCCACTGGAGCCCACTTTGAGCACCCTTTGAGTAGAATGGTTGTGGAGTGGCTGGTTAAGTGGGATATTTTTATCCAAAAGCTCTGGTTTCTTTTCATTATTTTTCGGTTTGAAAATATAATCCACTCCAAATCATTATTGAATTGTGCAACCTGCAAATCCAGTGAATAAAAAGTTTTTGTAGGTGCTGAGGGTTGAATTATTATATGTTTAAATGCCAGTATTTGGCCCATTTGATTTCTTATTTGAATACATCTATGGCTGTACATTGGTTAAGTGTAATAAAAGAAGTTCTTATGCTTTTAGTAGAGTGCAGATGAGGGAGAATAGAAATGATATCAAACAAAAAGTACCTGGCCTGAGAATGAAGATACTAAAGTACCTGGTATTCTAATATACATAAAGAGGTTGTGTTGAATTTGGTGAATTACAAATATCTATTACTTTGGACTGCAGAAATTTCCATTTTTTCATGCACCAAAATACGAAGGTTAAAATGTCATTTGTAGTAAGTGGAAAACAAATGCAGATGTGATAATCTGCTAGTGAAATATTTGTGTAATTACCAAGGAGTTGCCAGAAATAATTAGCTTGATCCCACCCACAGTTAAGTATGGATTAATGACATTGGGTTTAATTATGCTTAACATTCATGTTGAAAGAAGTAGCAGGCTTGTGATACTTCAATACTTTTGTTGTGCATAACTAATTGCAACTTTGCTCCACCAAATCTTATGCCATTATAAATATTGACCAGGAGGTATAGGAAGGCTCCGGTCTAGATATTTGAGTTAAAATCCTCAGGAGTTCTGGAGGGCATTGTTGATATCGAGAAATGCTGAGAATTGTCTTTAATATTTGGTAGGCCGCAAAATATCACTAGGCTGTCCTTTGTTTTTTTGGCATATGCAGAAGCATTTGGATGCTTCAAATGTCTTTTCTTGGTCAGGCAGTCAGAATCCTGATAGGTGTTGGAATATTGTGAGACAACCCAATGACAAATATTTGCTCAACTTAATATTTTGATAATATGAAAATTCAGGTGTTGAATTTGGAGGTGAAAATATTAGTACTACTTGAAATTGTTTTAACAATACTATTCGTAGTGATTGAAACTAGGGAGCTGGTTTTATTCAGCCTAGGTGAGCAAATGAACTGAACATGTGGACACCTTGGGATACCTGAAGGGGTGTCACGTAAGAAACGTTTGAAGTTGTTCATTGTTGTTTAGAGACTGTCAAAGTATGAGTAGGTTTGGAAAAGAGGTTGGTAGGATTTTTGCCAATGGTTTAGGGACAGAATTGGAAAATCTGATATATGTTTGTATTGACACAAAAAATTATTATAGGCCACTGACCACTTTCTATTTGGGACACGTATGTCTAACCCATGATCCACAGGCTGCATGTGACCCTCAAAAGCTAGTAATACGGCCCACAAGTTTGTCATCTTAATTTTATTCTGTGATTGATATATATTAACTGTGTTATATATGTTATATGCAGACCAAGACAATTTCTCTTCACTTATTTTGCTCAGACAAGCCAAAAGATTGGCTATCCCTGATTTAGGGCCTGCTTTTTGACTAGATGGCCATAATGAAGGCCTAAACACGGTATCTCACTTTCTCAGTTGTGGACTTTGTGTGCTAAATTATTGATAAATGAAAAAGCAGACTCTTTACTTGCGGGAAAAGCACTAGGAAGAAAAAATGCTATGAAATAAGTGGTTGAAATCCTACAGGAAGGGCAATTATAAACAGCATCCCCATTAGAGAGAACGTTTATTTTATCCTCTGACATTGAAATGTTAAATTAATTGGGCTCTAATGCAATGAATGAAACAGAAAAATTATAAATTAAGGAGTTGAAATCTTAATATCAAACTACAGAAAATGTAAGGAAAGTGTAAAATATAAAATAAGGAAAGTATAAATAAGAAATGTATTTCAAGAGTAAAATCTGGCTCCATGATATTTTCTTGGTGGGGAAGGATTGTGATTGTTACAGAAAATATAGAACACAAGGTCCTGAAACAACAGAGCAGAAAAAAGAATGCAGAATTCTTTCCCATTCCTTAATAGCAGCACCCCTCTAGGTTATGTGACAGGAGAAGGTACATCTCCTATCCTATCCTTAGAATGATACAGTGTGGGTGTAGTCAAAGCTGTTGCTTAATTGTTTCCGTAGGGAAGTATTCNTTAATGAGAAGGTAACAGCATTCCATGCACCTTTGGCATTTAGTCATGCCAGCCACATGATCATGGAGACGTCTTCAGACAGCGCTGCCTCTTTGACTTTGAAATGGAGATGAGCACTGCCCCCTAGAGTTGGGAATGACTAGCACGTATGTGTGAGGGGAACCTTTACCTTTTACATTTTTGACCACATTCCTGTCTCTACTGGGTTCGTATGGAGAAAGTGCTATGGAAATGTCCCAAAGATTGTCAGATGAGAGCTATAGGTGGATGGGTGTGTGCTGCATATGCCAAGACTTCCTTTTGTGTGCCAGCCAGGTCCCCTTTTGCGCATGGGCTGGGTTCTTTTGGGCAACAGCCAGAACCTTCTTTTGTGAAAGAAGGAACTTGCTGGTGCACACAAAAGAACAGTCTTTTCATGGTGGCCTAGCTGGGGATATCTTTCACGCAGGCCAATTTTCTATGCCACCCAGATCATTGAGTGTATGCTGTCATGCTCCATGAGGGTTGCAAATGCCCATCCCATTCTAACCTCACTTAAATTCTTAAATTGATAATAATTTGTGTTCCACAAAGTGAATTACAATGGCGCAATTACTTGGGGTGTGTGTGTGTCATTCTGAGATTTCCAGCTGCAGTGGTCCAACTTAACAGAAACATAAGCACAGGTAAAAATCAAGGATGAACTGAAGTTATCCATCCTGAATGTAAATCTAAAGCCATAATGTATACTTCCATACATATATACGTTATTTTAAACTTTAAAAATGTTGTTGTGTTTCAGTACATTAATTTGGAAAATATGGGACTTCCTTTGTATAGGTTTGCCCAATTCTTCTTGTGCCCTCTCTTTGACGAAAGCTGCAAAGATAGAGAAGTAAATGCTGTTGATTCTGAGCATGAGAAGAATTTAATGAATGATTCATGGAGACTATTTCAGCTCGAAAAGGCTACTGGAAATCCTAATCATCCATTTAGCAAATTTGGCACAGGTAATTAAGAAAGCAATTTTACATTATTTGGTCTATTTCACTATGATGATATGATTCCTCATGTTTCTAAACATTCAGTTTTCATGCAAATAAAAATATGTGGCATATGTTGTAGAATCTTACTGATGATGCAGCCTTTAGAATTATGGTAATTACATTTTTTTTGATTCAGCAATAGAACTGACCTGTCAGACTAGAGTTGGAACTTGAAGGTCTTCTAGTTCAACTGCCTTCTCAAACAGGAGACCCTATACCATTTCAGCCAAGTGGCTGTCCAGTCTTTTCTTAAAACCTCCAGAGGTGAAGGACCCACAACCTCTGAAGGCAACTTCTGTTCCACAGGTTAATTGTCCTCACTGTTAGGAAGTTCCTCCTTAATTCCAGATTGCTTCTCTCCTTGATTAGTTTCCATCCATTTTTTCTTGTTTTGCCTTCTGGTGCTGGAAAATAAGTTAACCCCCCTCTTCTTTGTGGTAGCTGCTAAAATACTTGAATACTGCTGTCCTATCACCCTTAGTCGTTCTTTTCTCTAAACTAGTCATACCTAATTCCTGCAGCCATTCTTCATATTAAAAGAGCCGAGGTGGCGCAGTGGTTAGAGTGCAGCACTGCAGGCCACTTCAGCTGACTGCTATCTGCAGTTCAGCGGTTCAAATCTCACCGGTTCAGGGTTGACTCAGCCTTCCAACCTTCCGAGGTGGGTGAAATGAGGACCCAGACTGCGGGGACAATATATGCTG